CCTTGGTAACACGTCCCTCGGCACGAGATAGTGGAGGACTAACCCTGTAACCAGAATCTCCGTTCGTAGGAGAGTGTGGCTTGAGTGAATAGATCTATACGGGACTGACAATCCCACACCTGGCTGCTAGCTACAGCCGAACCGAAAGGTTCAAGGGTGACGAAAGTCATAAAAAGGATACTGGCCTCGACGCGAGTCATACCTAGTCCGAGTATGGTTAAGAACTCGCAATCTAGATTATTAACACTTTTGACTCTTTTACTAGCTTTATGTTCGTAGTAAAGCTAATGTACATTTAGGAATATCAGGTTCACACATTCAGGAAAACATGGGGTTTTCCTATGGATAATAATGAACATAACCATAATTGGTAAAGGTACACCCACACACATACAGTCAGGGAAACATGGGGTTTTCCTGGGTAAAACACAAAACATAACCAGAACCAGTAAAGACACACACACACATAGTCAGGGAAACAAGGGGTTTTCCTAGGAAGGACACCGAACATAATCAGAACTAGTAACAGCTCACACACACATAGTTAGGAGAACATGGGGTTCTTCCTAAGTATCATTAGTATATAACTAGAAAAGTGTAACAAGTTAAACAACTGAACTACAATTCACAAGAACAATCATGTTTTCATTGTATATCGTTTACTTTACTTTCGGATTTGAAAACTAACTTTGCATAAGAAAATATGGGATTTTCTTGGATAACCACTTTTACGGGAAAACAAAGGAACTCGTACATTTTCAGAAAAACTAACCGCTTATGAGCTCACTAGCTTTATGCTGATTTTCAAACCGCTTGTATTCTCAGGTCCGTGTTAGACAGGTACCCGAAGATCCCTTTTGTACGAAGACGGAGTTCTCAGAAGACTTGTTTCGTGTTGTTTATATATACTATGTATCACATGTATAACTTTTTCTTTTGAAACAGATGTAAAACTTTCATATATGTAATGTAATGGTTGTGTTACTTTACTTACTATGTACATTGGATTTGATACTCAACATGGAGTCAACCCCAGAAATGTTTCTGCCTTCGGTTTTCGGGGTGTGACAGTTACAATAGTGTTTCAAACAAAGGTTTTTCTTATACTTAAAACTATCGTATCAAACAAACTACTTTCAAATGATTTTATAAACTGACATCAAGTAATGAACTCTTATTTATTAAACTTTTCAAAGGTTTTACCAAAACTTCTTTTATACTTTTATATTGTCAATTGCATGCCTATATATGTATAGTTATATAAGTAATGTTTAAAGGACTTAGAACAGCTAACTCGCCTTGTTTCCTTTTCCTTGTTTTGATGTGTACTTAAGGTATCAGTTACTTGTCCGAATGTCGTCTAAATATTAGTTATATATTATGTATACATATATAGTCATAAAAGTTCTATCAGTCAGTTCAGTACTTTTGGGTAGCAAAGGTATACCTTCAATTATACATGTACATTACTAGTAACTATAATAGGTATAGTTAAGAGATACTACTTACTAATGCAAGTACAAAGAATCACACAAGAGTCAGTTCATTCATGAGTCTATACTAATACATTACATACTATATGAAGAGATACAATTACAAGAACACTAATACATTACATACAATATGAAGAGATACGATTACATACAGTTACAAGACATACAATTACAAGAGAGACAATTACAGGGATACAATTACATAGATACTATTACATAGATACTATTACATACGTTACGAGACTTACCATTCCACACCCAAGGTTGTTAGCTACAGTAGGGAAAATGTACATCGACAGGTGTCTATGGTTGTACTATTCAGCGAGTGTCCAGACCGTGAATATCCTAGTGCAAAAGGATACAATTTTAGTTATTATATTGTTTTCCTTCTTACCTTTACTTTGTGACACATTCACATGAACGATGAGGTAGAATATATTTGATATAGATATACTATTTTCCTTATTACCTTTATTTTGTGATACATACACATAAACGATGAGGTAAACTATAGTTTTATTATAATAATAGTTATACAGGGGAAAAACCGTCACAATTACAGTGATGCATACTTTCAAAACGGTTGGGTCTTGGTAGAAGACTACTTTTTATACTAGTAGGAAATATGGGATTTACTAGGGTTTTCAAAGGTTTAAAATTACTTACAAACATTCTCATACTCATACAAACTTTTCTCCAAACATTTACAAGTCTTTTCTTTACAATTTTACAAATCAAAGACATTAAAATACTTATGAATTCACCAGCTTTATTGCTAATACTCGCTTTCAAAATAAGTTGTATTCTCAGGTCACAAACAGACAGGTACGACGAGTAGATTTTGTGAAGATGGAGAAGTCAAGTCTCGTTTTTTATTGTGATTATTCATTATGTTGTTTTATACTATGAAAGAACACACTTGTAATTATAAATATACTATTAATGCAATGGATGATGTTGTTGCTTGTTTACTACTATGCATTGTTGTGATAGTTTACATGACATCCTTTGCCCCAGAACGTTTCCGCCGTTCTTGGTTTTAGGGTGTGACAGATAAGGATATTGAGAAACAGGAGTAAGAGATTAATTGGAGTTAAGAAAAGTACCTACTTGGATAAGGTGAGGAATAGGTTCAACATGCAGGATTCCAAGAAAGGGGATTTACCGATCCAGTGTAATGCCAAACTGAGTAAGTCTCAGAGCCCGAGTACAGAGGCTGAGATAGCTGAGATGAGTCGATCATGTATGCTTCCGTTGTAGGCTCGATCATGTATGCTATGACTTGTACTCGTCCTGATATGGCTTTTGCTTTGAGCATCGTCAGCAAACATGAGGGGAATCCTCACAAGGCTCACTGGATTGCAGTAAAGAACATTCTCAAGTACTTGTGGAGAACTAAGGATTGGGTTCTTACCCTCGGTGGGAGTGATGACTTGAGAGTAGTAGGGTATGGCGATGCTAGCTTTCAGAATCATAGGGATAATTTCCACTCTCATTCAGGCTGGGTCTTTACCTTAAATGGAGGAGCAATTTCTTGGAAAAGTTCCAAGCAGGAGACAATAGCTGATTCGACATGTGAATCAGAGTACATAGCAGCAATCGAGGCGGTGAAGGAGGCGATATGGCTAAAGAACTTCATTGGAGACCTTGGGGTTGTACCAGCTACAAAGGAGCCTATGGAGATTTTCTGTGATAGTGCATGTGCAGTTTCGTTAGCAAATGAACCAACGGATCATGGCAGATCCAGACACATCGTTAAAAAATACGACTTCATTATACAGCGAATAAAGAAGTAATCATCGTGGCAAAGAGGGTATCATCAGATGAGAACCCAGTAGACCACCTCACGAAGGGACTGTGTAGGGTTAAGCATTTGCAGCATGCGAGGCGCATCGGGCTGAAGGATGATATGAGTTTTACTGATTAGATAGCTATTTATCAAATTTGTAAAGTGTAATTGACGTCTAATGATTAAATAAAACTTGTTATTTATTTATGAGTAAAGTGTTACTATCTTGTGTCAATTATTTACTATTGTTTCAATTTTACATGTTTTGACTTCCCGTATAATTATGTTATGGTATAACATATTATTCAAGCCATCCACAGTCAATCATACATTGGAAGTAGGTATTGAGGCAACACTATCATGAATGGGTCTGTAGTTTGTCTGGGACAAAGGGACTACAGTGTTCATGAGTACTCATGGAATGGGATTCGAGTATTGGATTTAACCCATGCTCACTTGTATCACTTCATGGAATTTATCTCGAGTGATCGTGAGACAGTAATATCATATATGTCTTCAAACCTAGAGATGTGAGTTGTTGACCATGAGTTGGTTGTACATTGATTGTACGAAAACGCATCGATAACTCGATATTATAACACGTGCTTTTGTGTATGATTCAACAAGTAGTTAGTACAAGCATATCAGTTGAAGTTTATCCGTTCCTTCTAGTCCTTGGAGGATTAGAAGCAATATCTGGGCCCCTCGATGATTTTTTTTTGACTTATGTATTGGGCTCAATCAAGACAGAATTGATGTGTTTGATTAAGTTCTTTATCAAAAAATCGGAAATCGGGAAACAAACTGCTGGACAATAAGTACGACATCGTTCCATGTATTTGTTCGGCTTATATCTTGAGAGCATAGGTTTATATGATCACTTATCTTAAATGGCAGGTCATCTTAGTTCCATGAGACTTTGAAAGAGCTACGATTGCTTGTCGGATCCTGAAGCCATACTTGCAGTTATGGTTATTAGACTTATCCAAGTGGGAGACTCTTGGATAAGGTGTCTAAGTCCATAACTATGTTAGGTATGTACTTGACCCGATTTGGCATGGTCCATTTGGGTTGCATGGCATCATAACAATTGGATAGACAAAATGAGAAAATAACACTTATGGATTGTTAATATATTATAAGTTCTAATATATTAATACGAAATCATATTATTTAATTAGTATTGATCAAGAATTAATTTGGAAATAATTTTGTGATCAAAAGAGACTAATTAAATATATGGGGTTGATTTGTAAATCATTCATTCTTATATAGTGGGCTTATGATCCAAGGTTCATTAGATTGAGCTAAAACCCATAGGGTGCTCCATGGAGGTTAAAACCCATGGATCATGGAGGAAATGAAAAGTCATGCACATTAGGGTTTGCATGGGGTAACCCTACATGTGACAAACTATATAAAGAACCTCATGGTAAGGGAAATCGGCCACTAAGATAAGAACAAGGAGGATTAGCCGATTTTGAGTGAAAGTGTTCTTCTCTAAAGTTATTCCAAGAGTTATGGTGTTGTGTGAAACATTTGAGGCATCACATTTGGCATGCTAGGCACACAAGGTCTAAAGGAATCCAAGCTACAAGAAAGGTATGCCATTCTACTATTTTTTATATTACATGTACCCCATGCCATCCTAGTTAGGATGCGAACCTTGGAAAAATCAAATTTGCATGTATATTAGAGAAAACATTGATCCAAGGTTTCTAGGGTTGCATGTACAGCATAGGAGTGTTAGAATGATCAAAACCCATCAATACCCTCTTTCCCAATGAAAAACTCGGGCATTTTCCCGCAACCCACCAAGCGACGCTCATTCCGCTGGCAGGCAAAAAGAAGTCAATCCAATTTTCACCGTTGATGTTGATCTTCTCTAAGGCATCAACTAGTTCCTTGTCAGCACCAAAAAGTGTCGGAGCGCAGTCGACATACACCTTATCTATTGGGTAAATGAGCACCACAAGATCGTTGTTCACCCATAAGAGCTTCTCCTGCCAGTTCTCCTCGCCGACTAGAAAGGTTTCGAGTCCCCGACTTAGTAGAGGCATTGATGAAGTGATTAAATGCTGGAACAGTTGGAAGGCGTTCGAGGGTGCGACAGAGGAGTTCAAAACCCACTATGTTGTTTATACCGATAGGGCCAACTATCTCCCAGAAAACCTGTATTCATGGATAATCAGGTTGAAGAAATTTGTGGTAGGCAAACGTAGACCCACCTTGTAACACCGTCATTTTTAAGACAAAATTTTTCATTTAAAATAATCAATTTAATATTAAAACACTTGTTTAACATCTTATTCCCATTCGAATTACAAAACATAGTTTCAGTTTCATTATAATAGAAGACCAGGATCCTCCAAAATATAACTCTTTCCTCGGTGTGTACAATCGAACCGTTGCCATCCCGCGTTACTGTAAGAACCTGAAACAACATAACATAAACAACGTAAGCTCGAAGCTTAGTGAGTTCCCCAATATACACCTTACGCACGTACGCCTTTCCAGGCCTTGACCTTCCGGTCCACTGCACAATGCCTTCCGGCCCATGAGATAATCGCCTTCCGGCCCATAAGATGTTTGCCTTCCGGCCCATAAGATATTTTCCTTCCGGCCCATAAGATAATTGCCTTCCGGCCCATAAGATAAATTGCCTTCCGGCCCATGAAATGATTGCCTTCCGGCCCATGCACATATATAACACATAATACAAATACTCTAACACATAAAGCACATATATCATATATCAACCTGCCTCCCGGCCCGTAACATACTCTAACACATAAATCTCATATATCATATATCATACCTGACCTTGCTGTCACATAATACTTTGCCTTCCGGCCCATATTTAAACATGTAAATCACGCATAGCAGCTAACTTTCCATTCATAGCATATAAACTTAACACATAACATACTTGACCTTCCGGTCACACAATCAAACCCTTCCGGGTGAAGTATAGTGAGAAGACTCACCTCGCGGATGCTGGGAGATAGCAACTCCTGAAATCCCTTGCACTTGATCCTCCGAGCTACAAGCTCCCTGTAACATCATATATCTCTTATTAATACTTCTATCTCCCACGTTAACTGACCCTAAGAAATCACACCGGTCAACCCTGGTCAACAGTCCACTGTCAACTCGACTGGACTCGGCGAGTTCCCTGGCGACTCAGCGAGTCTGGTCGTCCTTCAATCCTCTAAGATTCCCCTTCTTCTCGTCGAGTATCCTCTTTGACTCGACGAGTTACTCCTGGAAGAATCGTGGGGCCACCCCGACTCCACTCGCCGAGTCTGAAGAACAACTCGGCGAGTCCCAGTGAATCTTCAAGCTACTCGCCGAGTCTGATCATCCAACTCGGCGAGTCCACGCCATGCAGTCGATCAAACTGCTTCCTGAGACACATATTTTCCCGAATATACAAACATGGGACCTTCTGGACCTCTAAGGGTCCTAATACAGGGTTATAAACATTGGATAATCAACACAACAATCCATCTAATCTCCAAATGGGTTTCACAAACCCTAAATCCGTGTACACATTCACATAACATAAAATAATCCGAAAGGTTACCTGAATCATGCACTCTCAGTGTCCCCAAGCCTCAAAACGTGATTCCCTTGCTGTCCCATTAGCCAAAACCTTCTCCTTCTTGGATAATAACTTCCTTAAATCACCAATGATCTTCAATCCTTGTTCTGGATACCCACAACCGATATAGGATCCTTCTCAGTCGGCCAAAAGGCGAGCAATGACGGCATAAGATCCCTTATATACGTCCCACACTGAACGGCTAAGGTTTTCCGCTGAACAGCGTCGACTCGCCGAGTCCATACCTGGACTCGTCGAGTCCAGTCGCGAACCCGCGACCACAACTGCGACCCTACTCGGCGAGTCTGGCTCCAACTCGCCGAGTCTCCCCTTTAAAACACCCCAAAATGCAATTAAACAATACTTGAGATTTTGGGCTGTTACAATTCTCCCCCACTAGAATTAGACTTCGCCCTCGAAGTCTCACTCTGAAAATAGTTCTGGATGTTGCTCCCGCATCACACGTTTCGGCTTCCCTAGACACTTCCGATCTCTTCCGAGGTTGCCACTGAATCAATACCAGAGGTACCTCCTTGTTTCTCAGAAACTTGATCTTCCGATCCCTGATGGCCACTGGTCTCTCGGCGTAACACAGGCTCACATCCACCTAATCGTTCTCTAGTAGAACCACTGCTGACTCATCTACTACACACCTCTTCAATTGCGACACATTAAAGTGTCATGGATCCATCCCAATTCCGTTGGCAGCTCCAACCGATAGGCCACCTTTCCTACCTTCGCACCTTCACGCAAAGACCCAACATACCGGGGCCCCCACTTACCCCTCTTCCTGGAATACGAAGTCGCCGACCTGAAACACATGCTTGCGACGGCGTCTGTCTACATAACCTTCCTGTCAACTCTAAACGATCTTTAACCTCTGATTAACCTGATGCATCTGCTCTGTCGACCAAAACACGATCGATGCACTGTCCACCGCTTCCTGCAACCGAGAATTACCCAAGACGCGACTCTGCTCTGAATCTCAATGATCACACGACTCATAAGGCTTATGAAACTCTGAATCACCGGTTCCCCGATCCTAAGCCCACTTTGTCCATATCGGAACAACTGAGGAACCCATGCTCAATCTTATGGTAACTCCCACGAGTTCTCTTCCTGCAAACACCTACCCTGGCTGCATTAGCCCCAACATACCTTTCCCTTCCTTCACTTAGTGAAACCCGCTTGACAACCTTGACACTACTCCCTGTATCACACATGCACTGGATCTGCTCGCAAGGACTCTCGAGTCCCTGCATTACCTTTCCTCAACGAACGAGATTCCGACATCACCTTCCATGCAACAGCTCAAAGGGCGGCATACTAATGCTCTAATGATGTCTGTTAATATGGAACAACTCAACCAATAGTAGTTACGTACCGCGGCTTCCTCCGACAGCTAATACACATGCTCGAAACATGTCTTCGCACGTCCGCATCGTTCGCCCTCTCTAAAGTGTCCTCAGATGTCATCATGATAAGCTCCTTTTTCCCATATTCCTCTTCAAGACCAAGTACCAAATCAACTTTTGGCTCCACCTCTGAGCCCCCAACGGTCACCCATATCGCGATCCAACTATTCCACTGACTTTTCTCCCCGTGACCACTATCCCGACCCAGTGACACGTAAGTCACAAAATCTTCTTTTCCTCGTGAGAGAAAATACAATCCTACCGAGGTTCGTGTCAACTCTAATCTCTGGTTTCTGCTGTGCCTCTTCCTTGCGTATCGCCCCGCATCTCCCGACAGAGACGAAGAACCCCGTCTCGCCCCGACTCAACATCCAAGCTCCAAAGACTCAATACCAGGGCTACCCAACCCGAAACTCTTCCACCTCATACACTGCTCGAAAATATTCCAACATAAAAATTCTCTTGTCACCCAGTGAGTACTGCAACTCCACGCAGTATCACAACACCCCCTGACTAGTGAGTACTGCGACTCGAACATCCACCACAGACTATGGAGGCAATCAACATAACAAACGCCCATCTTGCGAAATCCACCCTCTCAATTAATCTCCCCGAATGCCCATACTCGAAGACTCCTACTAAATCCGCAGATACTTGATATGCCACACGTCGATTCAATTCGGGATTCCCGAATAACTCCAAAATAAGGATATCATACCCGAATATCCCAGAATACTACCCCACCATTGATCTCCTGCCCCAAGCATCATGTAGACACAAGATACATTTCTCCTGAACCCCATAATTAAATCTATCTTTTCCCCGCCTTACAACCTTGGTGCATCTAATTTCTCGATTGGAAAGCGAGATAACGTTGACGTACAAATTGCGCTGATAACTCTCCAAATCCCTTTTCCCCGACACTCAAAATCCAAACAAGGATACGCATACCGACTCCGGAAGTTGACTGCCCAATCATTCTCTATCTTCTTGCAACAACACCAATCACCTGTCATGAATACGTTCGTTCTCCTCTTCGAATACTTCCTGCATTAACTCACTGTGACCCCTTTTCTCGAACATCGACACCTCTGGTCTCATGATTTCCTACTGCATCTCCATACTCCACTTATAACTACTCTTGACAATTCTTTGTTTTCTACGTACTACACCCGGTTCTCCCCCACTAGGGTTTGAACCGCCACTAATTAGCATACGATCAATCCACGACCATCTTTCACCAGCGAAATCGTACCTGCTCCCGGGAAGTGCTATGCAACGCCCAATAGTCCCTCCCCTTTTGAAGTCAATCAACCCTCTATACTCTGAACCTCTGGTTAACTCTCCAAGAACTTCTCATCACGGTTGCCTCTAATCGTTCCAATCCCATACCAATCTAATACTAAGCACCTGCACTGCTCGATAACATCTTTGACTCGTAGACTGCACCGCAAAATCATCGTTCCTCTCATCTCAACTCATCAACCCATATCCAATGTCGGATTTGTCCCAAGGACAGGAACTCACTCTCAACATAGACGAAACTCTCTGCACCGCAAAACTCGACTGAACTCTTCACTGCTACCACTATAACACAACCTGTCATTCTCAATTAGGTGTGGTGTGGTTCTCGACTACCTCAGTCCCAACTGACTGTCTGCTCACGGTAAATCACTGTCTCGCGGCACACCCGCTACCTGATGCTCTGAGGGAAGTCATTATCGATAACCACCTGCAAGGTGTACTCCCAAATCCAAAACTGAAATACCAGACCTCTCGTGTCTTGCACACGAACGTAAATGGCACTACCCACCTAGAAGGTGACCTCTCCTCTATCGACTGATTTCTCGACTCAGACCGAAATTTCCTCTCCCTTTAACTCCCTACCACCATACCCTGCTAGGTACTCGCCTTTCCCCTCAAGGAACGCCTCTCCATCCTCAATCATGGTCCACAGGCCTAAAACCCATAGCGTCCGATCTCTACCTCATCGATCATAACCGGATAACAAGATAGTCACCAGCATCATCCACTACGAACC